AGGCGAAAATGGCGAACATGACGTCACTAAAACGTCTTTTTCTTAAAAAATTTCCGACGGATTCCGCTAAAATTTTCAGGGAAAGTGTCAAATTGATGCATGATAAGGAATTGAAAGTTCGACGTCGCTGGCGTAACGCGTTTAGAAGTTATTGGCGAATAACGGGAGGGAGGGGGCAGATTCTGCCCCCCCCCCAGCGGGGCGCGGGTTAATTGTAAACGCTTTTGATTAGCACACGTGCGGGGGTCCGGCCACCTTTGCACCTGCCCTACCCCCGTGATATTTCGAAAACAAAACAAGATAGCGACAAGCTATCTTGTAAACGGCGTGGGATACAAACGGATAAGGTCTACAATTTTTATGGCCATTTTCAGGCCATGCCAAAAAATGACGTCACAGGGATCGAAATAGTCAAAATAGCGGCGTACGATGCCAAGAGACTATTTTGCGCATAATTTTTGAACTAATCAAGCAAGATCAAAACTATCATCGGGATCCACTAGTCAATCCGCATCAAAATATGTGCCTATATGTTGACCTCGAAAGGCCAAGGCCAAAAGCTGACCCAGGTCACGTGACATTAAGATCTACATGTAGATCATTCGATGCGTCTTGAAGAGCTGAACATAATAAGACCATTGACACGAAGTACGGCGAAAAAGAGGTGTCGTTTAACCCCACCCCCACCCCACCCCCACCCAGTAACAAAAAGTGATTTGAGGCTGGATCATTGAAAGTGACCTGGTGACCTGATCTTAAAGGTTTGGTAAACCTTGCACACATTGCGTGTAATTGATGAGGACACAGTCATGTCAAATTTTGCGTCGCTACGCGGGGCGGTCTTTCCGCTAGAAAATATCACACAGCCCACTCATCCCGGTGCACGATACTTTTTTATGAATCTGAGGCCAGTTTTACCAACAGTAAAATAGCCGCCTGCCGGAATTTTTTGCCTAAAGACCGTTTCACATACGGAGCGTTAACGCGATGGGCACGTAAGCGGGTAGGAGTTTGCCGTTTTCCGTATGTGAAGTGGCCTTTGGGCAAAAAATTCCGGCAGGCGGCTATTTTTCCGTTGGTAAAACTGGACTCAGGAACATGCTAGCAGCAATCGGCTGACACTATGATGTGGATTATGAAATATGCAGATCGGAGAATACGGTAACCGGGCAAAAGATCGTAAAGCAGAAGCTCGTAAGGCAGAGGATCGTAGGAAGTTGATCGTATGCAAAATATCGTAATGCATAAAGATCGTACGGTATAATGCTCGTATGAACAAAAGATCGTATTCGCTAAAGGTCGTCAAGAAAAATGATCGTATGCCAAAAAAACTCGTATGGGAAAAAGATCGTACGGTATAACGATCGCATGAACAAAAGATCGTATGCGCCAAAGATCGTCAGTGAAATATATCGTATGCCAAATGATCGTATGGGATACAGATTGTACAGTATAGGTAATGCTCATATGAACGAAATATCGTTTTTGCAAAAGATTGTCCGTATGTCGCATTCGCAAATATCGTATTCGCAAAAGAAGGCAAAAGATCTTTGGCTTACGATCTTAAGTTGTACGATCTTTTGTGACATACGATCTTTATCTTACGATCATTTTCCTACGATACCCATCTTTTCATACAATCATTTTCTTTACGCTCTTTTGCTGACGATCTTTTGTCGTACAATCTTTCACAGCATAGATCTTTATCTTACGATAATTTTCCTACGATCTTTTTTCATACAATCTTTTGTCTTACGATCTTTTGTCGCGTGATCCAGAATACAATGCTAACATTGTACTAAGCCAGCCTGCCGTCACCAAACCGTGCAGGTAGCGACATCTATTCACCGCACGCAGCGCACTCTGGTGACACTCGTTTCAGACCTCCTTCGATGTGGCATTGGGCTTTCGTTCGTTGTTCGTTCGTTGTATATGGTCGGACTGCCGCCGGTGGGTGATTTCGGACGCTTTTTAACTTGCAACCATTGCAGTTCTCAGCTAGTGGTTGTTGAAAGCTTCGGCGCTATTAGAATACAGCTGTGCTTCTGACGCATAATGGCTGACCGCTGACACACCTTTGTGTAGTAGAACAGTACCCTGTGTACCACTGCTGTCGTCACCCGTGTAACACCGTCCCCTTGCGTGACACCAGCGTCCCCTGTGTAACACCGCCGACCCCTGTGTAACACCGCCGTCCCCTGTGTAACACCACCGTCCCCGGCGGCCGTGGCGACATTCTACCGTTGCCGGTGTGACAGCTCCTTCGAACGCAGCAGGCGAGGATGGGACGACACGTGGGGTGAAGTGGGCCAGGAAATTAACAGATACATCAGTGGACGGGGACGGGGGTGGGACACTGGCTAGAACGTTGCTGGTAGGTGTGGATGCAGGGACTGCTAGCAACAGCATTGACAACAATTTCCGGGCCACATGGATCAATCATGATGATACTTTTGCAGTTCACTTGCTTCAAGGAAAATGTTTGCTTTCAATCCCTGGTGTACACAGCTCGTCGGAAAGTCATTTCATCCACAAAAGAAACGAAATATGTCATTCGAAAGCTAACGTTGAGCTGATTAAAAAAGGTAATTTCTATCGAAATCGTTCGATGGCCTTTTTCAAAAATTGCGTTTTTAAAAAAACGTAATAATGTTTTTATTCAATGAGCTGTCCAGGACATTCTTCAAATCATGGCATCTTTTTTCGTTTTCCGGTGAAGATGAATGCTAAAAGAACAATTCATTCATATCTGTTACGCACCAAACATTAGCAAATTTCTAACAGCTGTTTACAATCACCAGCAGTGATAAAACCAAGGCCATATATAGATAAAACCGTCGCGTGTCTGCACAGAGCTCAGGTCACAGGGGTCACATCCCTCGGTGGGATGTGGCAGGTCAGAACTCAGAAGCCTTAGAAGGTGACGCGAAGCCTGGCTGCTGTCTCTCAACAAACACCGAATGCTGTCCGCTAGCACGTCTGGAGCGCGCGATGGCGTCACCCTGAAGCTGCACGGTAGTCCGGCAACTGCCTCAAGCACGGCAGAGAAGTCGTTTCCGCACATGCTGAACAGTTGAAGAAGAAGAGACTCTCCGAGTAAGGCGGGGCACATGGCCAACTTCGTCAGGCCCGAGAGGAAGGCCTGCTGGAGACGGTGCTCGGACTGCAGAGCACCACTTGCAGCCCGGAAGCATGCCGACCGAATCAGCTCATGTGCTGGGGCGATACCGGCAGCAGCGAGGAGCGCTGAGTGGTGGGCGCGGCGAGGCAGCCCCAATGCCGTCTTGAGGGTCGCTGTCTAGCGTAGTATGTAGTCAATATATGGCGAAAAAAGTATTACCAAATATTAATATATGTCTCTCAAAGCCGGCAACAAGGCGCAATTACACAACTCAGTGGTACGAAGTAGTTGCTCAGGTTACCCGAGAGGAAGATTCATTGCTCTGTCATTTTCACATCATATAAGATTTTGCAATTGTTTATGTCTACTTTGCTCAATTCAGCTAGGCATTATGCCCAGACAAGGGAAGTTGGCCGCGCTGAACTGTCAGAGGCTGTACCGTCCTCAGCTGAGCTGGAGTGGGGGTAGCGCCCGGCGGGGCGGGGCAAGCTTTTGACCGGTCGCACGGCCGAACAGCTGTCACTGGTACAGCCTCTACTAACAGTGAAGCCCTGCTAACTTCCCCTGCGCGGGCATTGAGCGCAGCGGTACGGAGCAAAACCTGTACATATAACAAAATATAAGTTAAAGCATGTTGTAAATCTCGCAGAATAATGGACTTTCTTCGCAGGTATCCTGAAAAGCTTTGATAGCGATATGGATCGTTAAACAAACAAATATGACACTTGTTTAGCAGGACGAGACCCGAACGTTTCTTCCGTGGCCGGTCAGACGGGCCTAGAGCCGGGTCTGCGAGTCGATAAGGGTCATTTCACGCTTCTGTGTGACCGAACTTGATCCATCGTGACGCTCAGTTGTGTGATTGCGCCTTACTTCTGGCTGTGAGAGGCGCGTATCAATATTTGAGAATATTGATTGCTGCATATTGTTCCCTTGGCATTCAGCTTTCGCTGGAAAACGAAAAAACATGCCGATGCCTATGATTTCAAGAATATCCTTGACTCTTTCTTGACCCTTTCCTTAGTTGATTAAAAAATATGACGTTTTTATGAAAACAACATTTTTGAACAAGGCCATCGTACGATTTTGATAACATTTATATTTTTGGAATCAGCTCACCGTCAGCTTTTGAATGGTATATGTCGTTTCTTTTGTGGACGAAATGACTTTCCGACGAACCGTGTGTAAAGCCCTTTCCTCAGTTTGTTAGCTTCACCAGCCTCACCGTTCAAACACAAACAGTCACAAACAGTCACAGTCACAGTCACACAGTCACAGTCACAGTCACACAGTCACAATAACACAGTCACAGTCACACAGTCACAGTCACACAGTCACACTGCCAACAGGCCGAGGCCAGTACGGCCCATCTACCGCTTCCAGTAATAACTACTACCTACAAGCTACATACTGTTTGTTGTGAGCTCACAAACATTTAAACTTTATTCCTTTACTAGTATATAAGTGTATTTGCCAAGCATTTCACCATTTTGCCTGAATATAACTAACATTAGGATAACAGTCAGTACGAATGTGCCAACAAGCAACATATAAGCTTTAAAGTTATATTTTTCTCAAATATAACTTAAAGCTATAATTGTTAAGCGGCTATGTAGACTATTACTAAATCAGATATATTTTCTTCAATTGTAACTTCAGGGTAACAGTTAGCACCACGTAGTTAGAGGCTAAGAACATTGGGTAAAAGATAAATAATCTGTATATATCATATCATACTTTTGATCCGCAGAAAAGCGCAGAGTTCCCCGCTCGAGCAATGTAATATAAGTAAGAGTTCTCACTCTAATATTACACCAGTAGCAAGTGTCCGGATCGATGACCGTGATAGCGGTATGGTGCACATGTTACCAACTGTGCATCACTGTGATGTCCTCCTTCGTGTGTAGTATCCATAGGCTGGCCTGATCTTCATTTCTGATTTCTTCAGTGACTCATATCCCCTCCACGTGTACCACCATACTCCAGTGTAGTCCTGAATGCCGCCGTCCCGGTACCATCCGTTCAGACTGCTGTACCCGCATCTCCTGGCGTACCACCAGGCCCCCTGATGCTTCTGTGCGCAGTGACCGATGATCATGTCCTGGTCACGGTCACGGGTAGAAAACTTGCTATCGACGCTGTACCACAGACAATCCCCGGTATTTCCCGAGTAGTCGGAGGCGCTCAGTGCGTAGCCATTGAGCTCAGACGAGATACGGAACCCTTGGTATATGGCGTATCTTTGATTGCCGTCAAACGCCTCTAGATCAATACGAAGTTCGTACCGTCGGCCTGATGACGTCAGCTGAAATAGGTGTTCTAAACCCCACCAGAATTCTTTGGTAACATTACCGAAGCCTTCCTTATAGTCCCCCCATCCGAGGAAGAAGTCCTGGTGGGGTTTGATGTCGTCTCTTCGCTGGATCACCGTCCAGTTCCCTCCGACAGTTTCCATGTCGCAGTAGGCCTCGACGGGTGGTTGTTTGCTGTTACCACTGGGCAGAAGGAGGTAGACTCCAGACGGGGAGTCGACAGGAATGTCGCTGCAATCACGGGGAGGAGGCGGCTGCTTTACCTCAGAAGCCAGATGATCTATGCTCTCCTGTGAGGCTGCTGTCTTATTCATGGTTTCAGCCAGCTGGGACACTGGAGTGACAGTCTGTGATGTCGTGGCATCAATAAGTGTTGTATGATTATCCAATGCGACTGTAGTCACGTTCTGAACTGATTTCTGCTCGTTCAGCTGGTCACTGAGCTCGTCCAGTTGTGATTCAAGCTGGCTGTCGAGCCTGTTGGCCAGTCCAGACACCTTTGTTAGTTGATTTTCTAGCCAAGTTACATTGGATTCCAGTCGTTCCGTATTGCCGTTCACGGTGGCTGCAGTCTCCTCTTGTTGGGTTTTTTGTTTGTTCAGCTGGGTCTTGAGCTCGCTCAGTTGAGATTGCTGGCTATCGAGCCTTGTAGCTAGTTGAGACGTCTGTGTGAGTTGATCTCCTTGCTGTGAAACGATGATGTCTAGTTGCGCTCTGAAGCTGTTCACTGAGGCTGCCGTCTCCTCTTGTTGTGATTTTTGTTCATTCAGCTGGGTGTTGAGCTCGCTCAGTTGCGATTGCTGGCTGTCAAGTCTCGAAGTGATTCCAGTCAGTTGACTGGACAGCTCTTCCATCTGCTCACTCTGTCTGCTCCTTAAAATGTGGGTGGTCCATTCAGTCACTCGAGAGTCGAGTAGAGTCAGTCTATTGTCCAGCGACTCCACTTGTGACTCGAGTTTTCTGACGATCGGCCGTAGCTCTTGCTGAACTGCTCTTGCGATGATGATGAACATCTCGTCGGCAGTGGCGCTGGGCAGGGCGGCCGGCTGCTGCTGCTGCTGCTGCGCGGAACAGCCGGCAGACACCACCAGCAAGGTCGACACGAGGATTCCTCTCCAGCCTCTAGCCATGGTGGCTCAGTAGGAGGAACCGCCAGCACCGGCTACCGACCTCGGACTGACGGCTCGGAGCTGGCAGAAAGGCTTTAGAGCTCGGTGCGGCTGACCTCTGTCGGAGGCGCTACATCCGGTGACGCGGCCCGGTCCCGTGACCGACAGACTGAGCGATAAACATTTACAAGTTGCCATGGACCAGTCTGTTATTGAGGACCTCTTGCTGCTCATGGCAGTTCTGTTTACAGTGACTTCTGAAAGCTTAGATAAATGCGAGCAGGGAAAGGTGCAGGGATGTTTTGCCATAGCTTAACCCGCGCACCGACGGGGTGTGGGGGCGGTTATCCGCCGCCCCACTGAGGCTTTCCATAAATAGAGGAAAAACCGCGGCACGCATCATTCGTGACCATTGACCAACCTTGGCTACCTTGGTGTCTTAGTTCCTATTGGACAGCTGTAAGGTCACTCTTAATCACTCTTCTCGAAAACTATCACCTACTCCATTCCCGGCCTGGTCCAATGTAGAGAAAGAGCGCTTCACTAAAGAAATGTGAGCCTCGTGTTGCGAACAGGGGGGGGGGGCAGGGTCACGAACGACGGACATGACTTCCCGAAACAGGCTGGGGAGTTTTCAGAAGGGTAAAAAGAAAAAAAAAGTGCCCAAGATACCATCAAGTCAGGTAAGTGGAGACATGGTCCCTACATTTTTGCGATAAAAACGAAATTGGAAGTTGGAACCACCTCCGATGATCTCCGATGACCTCGGCGCCTTTCCGTCATTTAATTTGTTTGTTTGTTGGTTGGTTGGTTGGAGTGGTTGGTTGGCTGGTTGGTTTGCTTGGGTTTTATGTAGGTAGGGACTAGACTCAAATCTGATAGATATCCATTGTACGTATGTACTTACCTCAGATTGGAGACTTATGGAGACTGTGCGCCTTTAAGGACGCGCCACTGTGCGTTTTTGAAAGCACGTTTCCTACTTCCTAATCACGCACACTCTTCCTTTATTCTCCATATCACAAAGCTGACGCATCCTGGGTAAAAATGACATTGATAAACGTGAGCAGCGAACATTTTTGATCCTAATGACGCACAGGTGAGAAGCCTACCCTCGTATTCAATCTTCCTAAACTCGGGATATATCGAACACTGCTTATTAGTTGGAGCATCTTTTGACCATTTAGTCGCATCGACTTTTCACAGAAAGATGTCTCATTACAACAGATATAAGCCAAACTTACTGTATCGACTCGCACGACGCACGTGGTGCAGAAAAGGCAGACGCGTTGGCGCAGCGCATTCAGCTGATAATAACCGAACTGTAATGACATCTATATAGCGATGATTTCCTTGCTCTCGTGCGTAACTAGGAGCAGTGCGGTATAAGGTCACTTTCCACTACAATAGTTATTTATGAAAATATTTCTCTTCAATAATTGTAACCTCAACAGAGTGACAAAATTTATTTTACCAGCATCTTGTTATTATCGTCGAGACGCGACTCATGAACCGTGCTTTGACCCTGAAAATTATTTTTGTAAATTTTTATAACTTTTTGAAACTTTTTATTTTTGAAACAATTTTTGAAACCCGCCCCGGGCCGGTGTTCAGCGACTTCCGCGCCGGTTCGAGGGAAATGTCTGAACACCCCACCCCACCCCCCCCGTTTAACTCGGCTCCTGGGCCACGTAGTGACACGCAGTAAGCGGCATTCGAAAGAGCGTCAAAAATAAGGACGGAAATACTCTGGGTCATTTTTTGGGTCAGGTCAAAGGTTAGGTCGCCAGAGGCCATCAAAGGTCGAATTTAGTCCATTTCAACAATTTTGGAAACTGACAACGGCTAACTCGGGAACCAATAGAGCTACAGCCCCGGGAAAATCGCATTCGATAGATCTTTTACAGACCTTTCTGAGCCTTGTTCTTAGATTTGACCTCAGGTCAACGGTTTAGCCTGCAGAGAGCAAAAACTCTAGAAATAGCAGTTTTCACGGAAAATGTTTTACGGTACTAATTTTTGATTCAAGGGAACTACGACAGTACTTTTTTCAGGATCGTGTTCCTCTTGTCAAAACGCGTCGAATAAACTATAAGTTGACCTTGAAAGGTTATTTTGAAATTTTGACATCAGGTCAAGGTCATGACCTGACCAAAAAGGGTCATGTTGCATATTAGTCGATCCGTATCGTCGAGCTGAACACATCTGACGTATTTTCATCGCTCTAGCACGTCTCTATCAAAAGTTGTAGGTAAAACACTGCTGGTGACCGTTCATGACCTGACATGACCTCAGGGGCACACAGAGGGATCACAGGTACATTTTTCCGATTCAGTGTGTCATGTTTATGACACACTGTATGGCACACCGTGATGGCACGTTCTAGCATTTTACAGCATATGGAGGTGAGGCTGATGGGGCATCATGACACATGACCTTACAGCTGCCCAACAGCAAAACAGACCTCAAGGTAGTGAAGGTTGATCATATATGAAGTCATGTGTGGTATATGAGGCCATTCCGACCCGTTTTAGTGGTAAAAACAGGGAGTTGATTTTTCCCCCATTGACTTATAATGGGGAGGTCGCGAAATTGACCTGACCTTAGGTCACCGATATCAAAATTCCGAGATACACAAATTGTAGCTACTAATGACCTAATAACATCCTGCGACTTTCAAAGGCCTCCGACATCTACTGTAGCTCTGGCACGGTGACAAAGTTGCAAAAAAGTGACTTGAGGTTGGGTCATTCAAAGTGACCTGATGACCTGACCTTAAAAGTTAGGAGCTTCAAACTTGCACACCATGTGTAAAATTTATGAGAGAATAGTCGTACCAAAATTTCGCGGCGCTACGCGCCGCGGTTTTCCCGCTTTTTGCGAAAACCTCAGGGGGGCGGATATCCGCCCCCTATGAACCCCTATGAACCAATGTGCCAGAGGCTTTTGAACGACATTCGTCCAAAAGAGGCGCATTTCAAATTTCTCCCATTGACTTAGGACTTAGGTATATGTAGGTAATGGAGAGGTCGCAAAATTGATCTGACCCTAGGTCACCGATATCAAAATTTCGAGATAAACATTTTGTAGGTACTGTTACACCGATCAATATCTGAAAGTTGTAAGGCTATTGTTCAGTCGGTGTAGCTATGACGAGGAGTCAAACTTTTTCTGAGGTGAGGTTACTTGACGTGACCTGGTGACCTGACCTAAGGCGACCTGCGTCTGACATTTTACAATATGTGCGAAAAAGATTCATAAAAAGGTGTGTCAAAAACGGCGGCGATCCGTGCCGCCGTTTTTGAGATAGCTGCGAAAAACCGCAATGGGGTGTTCAAACACCCCCTGCTCGGCGCCGGGTAACCCTCGTCGGCACATGCCATTTTGCGTCCTTCGACGGCACAAGTGGTTTTCATATAAGGTGGATCTGAATTTACTGGTTTTTTTCTGGAAATGTCAACATAAAATAGATTGATATACCTAAAAACAATGCTGCATTTAACATCTGCACGCCGATGCTGAACCTCAACCGGTGCTTGCCGCGATTCCATTTTTTGCAGGCAAACAGATACATAAACAATCACAAAGATGTAAACAGATAGATAGAAAAAAATAGACAAGCTGTAAGACAGGCAAATAGCCAGACTGTCATAAAAAGGCTATCAGCCAGACAGACAAACAGACAGACTGGTGAGACCAGACAGACCAGACAGATCAGACAGATCAGACAGACAGACAGACTGAGTGACAGCGTAGGTGACATTACCACCTGACTACCCTGCTGATTTGTCTGAACCGTGGAACTGAGTGACATGTTGGACAGCTGCCACCCACAGAATACTCGGTATATAACATGACATTTGTTCAGAACTGGCTGTGTGCCTGGCTCGCCCTCGACCATGAGGGTTCTTCCGTTTTTGGTGCTGCTGTGCGCAGCGGTCGTCGGCGCGCAAGGTAAGGTGTTTAGAGTTTTAGGTTAACTATGACAAGCAAGTGCGTAGTATCGAACCATTTCTGTACATTGTTGGGCCAATGTTGACTGGGAATATAAAGTGAGACATAAAGCAATTAACCTATAAGTTGACATATAATAATTAAAGTGAGACATAAAGCAATCAACCTATAAGTTGACATATACAATCATTTTACGAAATATGAACTACATACCACTGCAATGACCTGGATTCACTTTCAGAAAATCATAAGGAATGCCGAGAATTCGGTGATATTTGCGGAAAGTACAAGAACTGCGTCCCAGACCACAGGGGCTATCTGCAGTGTCGTAACCGCCATCAGCTCGGTACGTTTTTAACTTTGTGACGGTTTTCATTCTCTTGCCTTACATTTTTGTATGCTTCATTAGGTGGGAATTGATCGGAAGGAAGTAAGATGCGTAAGATAAGATGAGATACGTATGCAAGCATTCAAGATTATACCCAGAAATTTCCGTTAATCTACGACAGACGACGCTCGCTTCGCTCGTTCCGTGACATATCCTTCCTTGGTAAGAAATGTCAATGGTCATACGCCTGATTGTCTATAACTGTTTCGGTTCGGCAGACGGCGCAGCCCATTTGTGCCGCTTTGGTGGTGACTGGTGTCCCGATGGAAAACTGTGCAAGAAAACATCACACGGCCGACGCTGCGTCTGGGATCACAAAAACGAACGTGAGTGGATAGCTGTGTTGATTTATTCGTAAAACAATTTCCAGCGTACACTTGTTTATAAAAAAAGATGACTTAAGTAACTAAGTCAAGATTCTAGGTAGAACAAACTGCAAATGTCACTGCTCCAGCAAAAGTACAGCGAATCTAGCCTAGAAAACTCCAAACAGTGCTTCAGCTCACTTTATGCATGTACTTTTTCTGCAGATGAAATAAAGAAATGTTCCAAAAGCCGGGTCACCAAGTACTGCGCCCAAGGCCGTAAATGTATGCACTGCTACCTGCGTAAAGGGCTCTGTTGTCGACGTGCGGCCATCATAGGTAAATTAATATTATTCTTCAGCAGAACAGGATGA